TTATGCGCAGCTTCTTGGAAGTCAAGCGATGATTGTATGGTGAGATAGACTTCACGTCGGAACGCAACAAGGTTCTGTTCCGTGTTATCGATGATTTCCGTGGTACCCGACGGCGCTGCCGCTGCTCCACCTAAAACGAAGAAAGACTGAAAAAAACAGAATCATGGATAGCGCAATTACCTTCTTCATCGACTTCACCACCACTTCCTTCTTCGTCATCGCTGCCTTCTTCATCGCTATCGTCAGCGTCGCCAATGATTTCAGCACGAATTTCTTCGTACTGCTTTTCATTCTTCTCAAACTCAGGGTCCATTTTGAACACATCTAAATTTGATAAATGTAAACGAAAAAATCCTTTAAAACAAAAAGAGATTTGTACTGATTCCAAATAAGTAAATGGGTGAAACGGATAACATTCTAATCAATCATTTGTTTTCTTTTTGTTAAAATTTTTTTAACAATTCCGATCGATCCGGCTAGCGTTGTATGTTCAGATGATCTATACAAGAAGGATAGAAAAGTGTCACAAAAATTGTCCACCAAAATTTTGAAGCAAAAACTATTTTACTAATTGAGCACATAAGGTGATAACTACCCACTCAGTTCATTCTCCGGGTTTATCGCATCCTCCAAAGAAAGAGTATGCGTAATCTGATCGTCCTCATCGATGAGATCCAACTCTTCAAGAACTGCAGGATAGGCCTAAACGAGTTCGCTGATTGATCAGAAGTATCAAAACTATAGATTTGAGGCGAAAGCTTACCTTGAACTTGTCTTTACGGATAGCCATCACCACTTCGATCATGTATTGCACACGTTTATCAAGATTTGAAGCATCGCCATCTTGGAGAATACCACGAAGTCGTGTAAATATAGTGTCCAGAGCACGAGGTGAAACCTAGGATTATTTTGTGATGAAACCACAGAAATGAAACTAATTAACGGATTACTTACTTCAGCTAGCTTAGCACCACATTCCTTGAGAAAAGCGATGGACACCTCCACTGAGTCGTCAGTGGGAGTTTCCAACATCAAGATCATGATCTCTAGCGCTAATACTTCATGGGCCTGGAAACAGCGATAAGATACAGTACAAATAAAATGAACTGACAATATAATCACAATAAACTTGAGGACAGAGTTTACATCATGAACTTGAGCGAAGAACGTGGATTAAAGGCAGCG